ACTCTGAGCTGATCTGCACAAAGCAAAGTTACACAGGTGCCAGAGAGTTTAAAGCCTCCTCCCTCAAAGTAAGATGGCCAGGGGACAGGGACTTAGCTCAGAGGCCCCGCACCTGCACCACAAGCACAAGCTCCTGAGTTCGATCCCCAGTACCACAAAAACAAACAAACAAAGAGCAGCAAAGTAAGATGGCCAGAGTCTTCAGAAACGCAGATTCTGGGGCCCCTCTCTGAAACAGAATCTGCATTTTAACAAGATCTACAAGTAATTTATATGTACCTGAAAACTGGAGAAACATTAGCTTGGAGGACATCAAATATGAAATACCTATTTATCACCTGTCTTCTCCCACCCCCACTCTTCCCAGAAAATTTCTTCTATTTGTAAACCTCAAGATAGATGTATATACTGCAAGACTGATGCACTTACCTTCTACCAACGATTCTTATCAAGGGAATATTCTCAATGGAACAAATGTCAGGCTAGATCTTGAGACAAAGATGGCCTTCTTAGACTTAATTCAAATGTCTAGTTAACCATCCTCTGACTTTCAGTAGTGCTTTTTAAAAAGATAAACGTGCATTGATTGGCTCACGGTATTGACACAAGTGCACGAGTTCACTGCAACAAAGAAAGAAAACACTTTCCCTCTGCCCAGGTGGAAGCATGCTCACCTCTTCCTATAGAGGGGGAAATCCCGCAGAGTAATTACAGGTGGAATAAGAGCTGTAAGCTCCAGATTACTCTCAGGAAACATTTCTGAGTCTAAATGCACTTTTTAATTAGCTCTTCCAATAGCATCACACTAATTGTCTAATTTGGGAATGATATGAGACCCTGTGTGCTTTAAAGAAAATCTGTTTGTTGATATATTTGTTTGCAACTGAGACTGTCTTATTGCTGGCAGGACAGATATTATTAAAACAGAATCACCTGCTTATTTTAACCAGGTTTTTTTAATGAACACACATGAATTGGATTATCCCCAGGGTTTCAGGAGGACTTATTAGCATTTTGAGTGATGGGAAATTGCCACTTAGCTGAGAAATAAATGAGCTTTAAATAGATATCATTATTTTTTACAAGGTTATTATTGTAAATGTTTCACCATAAAAGAAATGCCCCTTCTAGTCTATTCTCATTGTTACTTTATGATTGGGGTGTTAACCTCTAACTAGTCTAGCTCTTCACATAAAGCCATGGTGAGTTTTTATAAGTAGTTACCACATAAAATAAAGTTGCCATATACTGGCCCAAATAATATTTCCAAGTTTCACAATTTGTTATCTATGGTGTGAACAAAGCGATTATTTGCCTGGGTTAGGAAATAGTAGATTTTAAAAGGTTTTGTAGGTTTGATACGTTTTACTGTTAAGAAGGCTATTGCTGAACACTACAGAAACACGACAGAGGCGAGAGTACTTGGGTATTTGTCACACCTGAGGATTTCATACTGCTTTGCTTGTTTGACTGAGAGATGACGCTTCATAATCCAAACTTCCCATCTTTGTATTTAAAATGTTCTTTTCCAGCCTAATCCCTGCCAATGAATAGTAAGGGGGGAAAACTGCATGGTTCGCCCAGACAGATAGTCTCCTTCCTCCTCCGGTTTAGCAACCTCTTTTCAGAAAGTAACACTGAGCTGGCTGCAGCTATTCTGCAGTCCGCCGAGGTTCGTGGGAAACTTTAGAAATGCTAGGGTGCCCCCTACCGTTCAAAATGGGAAAGCACTTTTTGCTGCTGCAGAGAACAGGATTCTTCTGAAAGTATACTTAAAGCACAGTTAAGCAATGGTTATTAGTCACATAAATGTATGGGTGGATAGATAGACAAATGCATATATGGATGGGTGGATGAGTAGGGGATAAAAATATATATAAAGGGCCTGCGATTTGACTCAGTGGTTCTGCTGCCTGCCTTGCAAGCACAAGGGCCTGAGTTCGATCTCTGGTACCACCAAAAAAAAGAAAAAAAGAAAACCTGCCCATGGATAAGATTACAATGTCGTAGTTAGAAGCATGTGTGGCTTTTGTCGACATTTTAAAGAAACGTTTCCCTCTCCCTCTCCTTCCTCTCTCCCTCCCCTTCCCCTGTCAGGGCGAGGGTGTGGGCGTGGCCTTTTTTCCACGTCCAGGTAAGTGATACACCTACCTAACACCAGCTATCCAGGGATGGCAGCGCATGCCAGTTCAAGGCCAACCTGAGGCTGCACAATGAATTCAAGTCCAGTCTAAACTACATAGCGGACCCTATCTCGAAAAATCAAACAAAAATACCGCCATATTTACCACTTCTTGAAATCCCCAATGACTGTTCTCTATCTTTATACTCAGGGCTGTTGTCACACCCTACAAGTTATTACCAGCAACTCTATCATCTTTGGAATCTCACTAGCAGGCATTCTATCATCAACTCCTACTAATTTCGTTTTGGTGTGGTTTGGTTTTGCTTTAATTCTGCTGTACTGGTGATTAAAGCCAGGAGCCTTTGCAATGAATTACATCACCAGCCCTATACCTTTTTTTTTTTTTTTTTTGTTTTGTTTTTGCTTTAATTCTGCTGTACTGGTGATTAAAGCCAGGAGCCTTTGCAATGAATTACATCACCAGCCCTATACCTTTTTTTTTTTTTTTTTTAATTTTGAGACAGGGTCTTGCTAAGTCACTAAGTTGCTCAGAATAGGCTAGAACTTGTGATCCTCCTGCCTCAGCCTCCCAGAGTGCTGGGGTTACAGGCATGCAATCTTTTACAAATATGGGAGATATTACAGTGTATTTGATATTGGCAGGAATTGTATAGTTGAGGACAATTTGGGATCCATGGTGAGGGGGGAAATGTCAGGGGAGAAAATTCTTAGAGGGGAAAAGGGCGGGTAGAAACAAAGAAGTTTAGCCAGGCCAGTTGCCCACTGAATCAGAGGAGAAGAAGGCAGGGTGTACACACGGAAAGGGTCACCAGCTGACGTGATGAGGCAAGAAGGCATGTTGAAGGCTGGAAAGGAGATGAGAAAGAATAATAACACTGAGAATGAGATGGTGAGTTGATGGGGGAAATACACTCAAATGCCATTCCTCTTTGACTTTGTGGTTATAAATTTAAAGGAACTGATTGCTTGGTTTTGTGATTTTTGTCCGTTTTCTTCATATGAAATGTTAGATGTTGGATTTGGAATAGCCAGAGATATGGGTTTAGCTAAGGCTGCCATTTTATTTGCTGAATAAGATGTTGGAAAGGAGGGACAAAGGAGCTGAGTTCATATAAAGAACATGGATCTAGTGACGTAGCATGGAAATTACATGGGTAAGGAGGAAGTTCAGAAATGGGGTGGTACTGGGCCAGGGACTTAGCTCAGTGGTCTGCTGCCTGCCTCCCAAGTGCAAGGATCTGAGTTCCATCCCTGGGACCAAAAAAATAAAACTGAGGTGGTGCTGAAAAAAAGGTCGGGGCTCCCAAATGGCACTAAAAGCTGATCCTTCTCAATGTGACTGCTTTGGCTAAGTGCTTCCTGTTGAATGAGTGAGTGACCCCAAAAATATTAAGAATGCAGAACCAATCACGGATCCCTAATGCACACATGAAAAATTGCGGCTTGCTTTTTTTGTTTCCTTTTTTTTTTCTTTTTATTGAGTTTATTGGTACAATCTAGGTATACAATACAGTTACATTCATCATTGGGATTCTGTACCTGTACATAATAGGTCTTGATTCTCATTTTTTCCCCTTGTCCCTGCCCTCCCTTCACCCCCTCCTCCCCTCCCCATTTACAAACACTTTATTTCCATTTTTTCAGTTTCTCAGATTTTTTTCCTCTCCCTTATTACCTTTCCCCCACCCTTCCCACTTTCCCTACACCTTTAGCCCTTTACTTCCTATTTCACATTGTTAATTATCTCATTAGGATCCTGTGTACTATTATAGTTTTTCACACCAGAGAAACTATTCGGTATTTCAGTTAAAGAAATCTCTGTATGAACATTAAAAATAGGGAATCCTAAAATAAAACTAAAAAGGAAAGTAAAAGAGAAAAGGCAATGATGTAACATTAAAATAATCCTTAATTCTGGAGATGAAAATGGTCCCTGAACATATTTAAATTGCTTCTTGCTCTTGTAGTCTTATTCTTTTTTTCATTATTTAGAGAATACTTTATTAGTTTCTATAATCAAACCCACGTAGACGTGACCTTA